TACTGACCTAGGCTATGTCGTGTGTGTTGATGGTGAATCCATTTTATCCAATGTTATATACACAAACGGTAAAAGAACAAGAGGGAGAGAGACGGTATCTTAAATGTAATTTTTCAGGAAAATATCAAGCGTGGACCGGCTGTAACACGCGGGCAAGAAATGAGGCAATTGCCTAGGAAATACACAGGCGGTTATCAGACTCTCTTTCTCTAGAACGTTTGACTTTATCTCTCTAGACGTTTTTGAAAATGTCAAAAATGAGGGATGGTAAAATTCTATTTATAGAGGGATAAATTCAGGGGTATCTCTGTAATTTCCCCAGAAGGTGAATAGTTAAACACTGTTCACCAATGCCTGAGTGACAAATGTCACAGGGTGATGTGGCGCGCCACATCACCCTTGTGAGGGGAAAATGTTTTGGGTAAAACCCAAGCCATGTGGCCCAATTAGAAGGTGACACGTGTCACCCTAGGAGAGGTTTCAAATGAACCTCTCTCCAGGTGACACGCGACACTCCTAATTAGCAGGGAAAAAGACGGCCTTTAGGGCCCAATTCCCGAGAAAGCCGCAAAATGGCGCAGCCCACCAATATAGGTCAGAATGACCTAAAGGCACATTTATCAATGACCATATATATAGGGAGATTTACCCCATTTGGGGACACGTTCATTTATTACACACAATCAAATCTCTCGAAAATAGAGAAATCACCAGATCTCGGAATCCGAGAAAATCTACTTTTACTTTTCGCACTTTTACATCGCTCCGAACACTTTCTAACTTGATTTTCGGAGACGAAACTCCGAACACCAGGAGCTTCCGTTGTTTTGCAGGTATAGCCGGTGGGAAATCAGTCTTGGTGATGTAACTCCCCCGATGGACATAAAAAACCCCGAAACAAAAAGTACAATCATAGACAAAAGTTAGAGAGAGAAAGTGGAAAAAAGTACATGTCATGTGCAAAAAAAAAAAGACAATTTCACTTTTGCTACCCCCAAAACATATGCATCTCAGTTTTGCTACCCCTTAAATTTTTTTTATTTAATTTTACTACCACACAAAAACACCCTTGTTAAAATTTGCTACCACTTAACGAAATCAGTTAGGGTTCCGTTAAGTTTATCCAAAAAAAAAAATTTTTTTAAAAAATAAAAACCCAGCCACCCTCCCCCCTCCCTTTCCTCCACCTACGCACCCACCACCTTCAATTGCCAGCCAGCCCCTTCCCGTCAGCCACCCTCCCCCCTCTCCCCCGCTGGCGCCCAAGTCGCCCGGTGCCGGTGACTCCAATCCCCCTTCCTTTCCTCCACCTACACAACCCACCCTCCTCCCTTATCCCTTTCTCGCTACCCCAACCCCCGCCCCGAAACCGAAAAAAACAGCCCTCCCTCCCCAACCCCCCCACCGGAATCGGCCCCCCTTCCCTTCCCCCACCCTGAATTGATCCCTCTTCCCTTCCTCCACCAAAAACAGCCACCCCTAACCCTTAAACACTAGCTTGACACCACCATAAACGAGACCCTAAATCCCATTTAGGGTGGTTTTGGGAAGGTGGTTTAGGGTTAGAGGTGCCGATTTTTGGTGCTGGGGAGTGGGGCGACTTGTTCGAAGGGAGGAGCAACAGCAACAGCCGCGCATTCTGGTGGGGGAATGGGGAGGGTGGTGGTTTCCGGTTCGGGGTGGGGGTCGGGGCAGCTAGGATGGGAAAAAGGAGAGGGGTGGGCTGCGTTGGTAGGAGAAAGGGAGTGGGGTAGGGTCGTCGGCGCCGGCCAAAGCTTTGGGCGCAGGCCGCCGGCTGGGTGGGGGTGGCTGATGGGGAGGGGAATTGGTTTTTTATTTTTTTTTTTCTTGGTCGCTGACGGGGAAGCAGTTATGGTGGCTGAGGAGGTTGGGGTGGCTGGAAGGTGATATTGAGGGTGGCTGGATCTCACTAACGGAAATAGTAACTGATTCCGTTAAGTGGTAGCAAATTTTAATAAAGGTGTTTTTGTGTGGTAGTAAAATTTTTTAAAAAAAAAATTAAGGGGTAGCAAAACTGATATGCATGTGTTTTGGTGGTAGCAAAAGTGTGTCCAAAAAAAAAACTTCCTCCCTAATTTTTTGCCCAAATTATTCACTTTCCTAAGTGAAATAATTAACCCAAAAAAAATGTCATTAAATCAATTGTATCCCTTCCAATAATCCTCTTTGCATGGTCTACTTTATTCATCAAGATCTCTTCTTTCTATTAAATTTTTTTTAATCTGTATAATTACTTTCATTAAAGAATTACAAAATTTGGGGGAAAAAAATCTGATTGATTGGTAGGATATTTGGCGGTTCAGTTAGTGTAATTGCTTCAACGAGAGTTACGGAAATGTGATTTCAATGTTTAATGAAATTTGATGTTTTTAAAAATTATCAATCATAATAAAATATGTATTTTCTTTTTGCATACCTAATTTTTTTTAATTTCTATTACTATATGTGAATTAGGCTTCAATTTATGTTTTTGCCTTAGGCCATCGAAATCTCATAAACGGGCATGATAACAAATAAATATCACGGACTAAAAATCAGGTGTACATTCGACGTGACATTTCTAAAAAATGATCAAAGGTTAACCAAAGATTAATTGAAGTTACCTTGATTTGAATAAAATTTGCCTCAGTTTAAATAAAAAGTATATATATTCTTAATTAACAAAGTTACTACCATTAAATGAATAAAAGCTAATCACACTAAGTGAAAGTTAAAATTTATCCCAAATTGTCTAAAAATTACCTAAAAATTATTTGATGTACATTAATATTATTGTAAATCGGGTATGCACAAAAAGATTTTACAGAATATTCAATACAAACACTATCTACTATGGTAAATATTTATATTATAGAAAAGTATAATACTCCGTAGATTTTTTTTTATTTTTTTTTATTTTATTATTATTATTTTTTTAAGGTAAGAAGAAAGACCATGATCATAGCTTACGGCTATTTTAATCCGATATTTACGGGTCAAATACTTTAAAAGTGAGAAAAAAGAATAAAAATTTCTACCCTTAAAATATCAATAAGGATTGAACCCCCAACCTCAAGGTTATATATAGGGTGCAATCCTTAGCTTGGTCTCCAGCTCTCCATAGAATATATGTAGTCTCCACTAATATGCAATGAGTATTTCTCAAATCTCACTGTCCAGTGTTCTCACCCTTGCGTCACTTTATTTATTTATTTAATTATTGTTTATCTTCTTGGACGAATAGCTAAAAAAACTTTAAATTTCACAACTACGCTATTTTTATCAAAATTTCCTACCCCCTCCGTGTTTTAATAAGTGTTACATTTTTCAAATGCGGCCGTGTTTTAATAAGTGTTATACTTTCTTTTTTGGCAAAAAACTGCATTTTAATATTATATCTGTCCTCTCATAGTCCCTACCCAAAGTCACTACTACTTTTTTTAATTATTTTCTTCCTCTAACATTCATTATTTTTCAATAAATAAATTATCCCACTATCTTTCTTTTACAATTTTTTAATATTTCAACTACCCACTTACCTTTTATTTTATTTAAGTCAATTAAATTGCCTAAAATTATGTGTCGATCAAAGTGTAACGGAGGGAGTACATAGCATCACGTTATCCTCTTTAAATATGATTACTTTTTTTTTTGGGTTTAAAATCGCTAAGTCAATTTGCCATGGTTTACCTAAGTAAAAAAAAATCTCCTTATACAAAATTGTGGCTTTAATATAAAAATAAAAATTAAAAAATACTCCCTCCGTGTTAGAATATCTGGACAGACTTTTTTCACTATTTATGTATAAGCTTTGACCAATGACCATAATTTTTTACTAACGTAATAAAATCATATTTTAACATTGGATCTTGCCAACGAATGCCCCCAGGACGTTGGATAACCCTTTAAAATATTTCTCAATATAGTATTAATTTGATGATGTATGTCAAAATCACGCGTAGACCAGTGTAATTAATGTTTATTTCAAGTTAATATTTCTACTTTCATTATCTTATCCATGCCCCCGGGGCATTCGTTAGCTTTTGCCTTTATCATAAAATATGTTGTTAAATAGGTATTAATATAATTTTTACAACAATTTTAATTAATATTTAATTATATCAAAATAACGGTCAAAGTAGTGCATTGACATATGTGCAATGTTGACTGTGTTTGATATTTTGGGACGGATTGAGTATTTAAAGAGGATGGCATGGACGGTATGTAAGGAAATTTAATAAAACTATGGTGGCTAATGCGCACAGTTATGTAAACAAATATTTTAGGATTATAGATATCTGCATACTATTCTTAACAGTTATATAAAAAGACATTTAACATGAAATAGAGCAAACTAGTACATAAAAGTTTAAGACTACATAATTGTCCAAACACTATTCATATAATATCTCAAATTTTAAAAGGTAAGGATTAATAAAAATAAAAAAAAAATAATAAAAAAATTAAAAAAAAAAAAAAAACAATTAACATCAATGAGGGAAAATAAATAAATAAATATTTTAGAGAGTATAATTGTCAAACACTATTCTTAATGGTTATAGAAAAAAAAAGGCTTTTAACATTAACGATGACAAAAAAACAAATAGACATTTTAGAGGATATAATTGTCCAAAACTCCAAACACTATATGTAGTAGTTATCTCAAACTTTTTAAAAGGTAGACAAGTAGTATAGATTTCGTTGTATATATAGTCTCTCAAAAGTGATTGAATGTTACATTTTTTATTGACCTGATTGAAGTACTGTCCTTATTGAACTTATTAAACTTATTGAAACTTGTTATTAGACCTAATTAAACATATTAGAACTTATTGAAACTAATCTGATATCTAATATTATCTAAGATTGATTACATTACAATTTTAAAGATTGTCTACTTCATTATTGATGAAACCTGAAACTAGAATTAATTTCCTTATCATAAGTGTGTTAATATCTGACATTATCTTTTATCCTGTTATATTTTGCCCTGAAAAAAGGATGGAATTACTAGCTTGGAGACAGTCTAGTAGTCAAGCCAAGATATTTGGTACGATAGTATCTATTACAGGTGCATTGCTCATCATTTTATACAAGGGGCCATCTATCATGTTTACTCCAAGAGATTCATCCATGCCTTATTACAAGTTACAACAGTCTTCACAATCTGAATGGATCATTGGAGGCGTGTTGCTTGGTACCGACTACATTCTTACTCCAGTTTGGTATGTTGTGCAGGTATGTATAACCCTCCAAAAGCCTTTTAAAATGGGAAAAAATTGCGTTTACTGTGGCACAATTGTACCTCACAATAGAAACTAGTAATACTTTTTTCCCCCTCCCCTCATGATGATAATATCAATAACATTATTCAGGCACATATCCTCAAAGAATATCCTGCAGAACTAGTTGTGGTCTTCTTCTACTGCCTTTTTGGGGCCCTTGTCTCCGGAGCAATTTCATCAGTGACTGAGCCTGATAGAGCTGCTTGGATGCCCAGACCTGATATATCTCTGGTGGCAATACTATACTCAGTAAGAACCACTAAGTCATTCCCTTGTCAAACGAGGTTTTGGTCATTTACAGCCTTACGGGACATTAAATAAATACGTACTCCCTCTGTCTCACAAAAGAAGATGGATCTACTTCTTTTTTATGTTCTTAATTTCTCTGGAAACGTCAGCTGGTAATCTATATGGGATGGAGAGATTAGAATTCAAATTGATTTTTTTTTTTTTTTTTTTTTTGCCCGACCTCTTATTTCTGTCGTGTAGGGAGGATATGAATTGCTGTCCACTTCAATTCAAGCATGGATACTACATAAGAAAGGACCTTTTTATGTAGCTATGTTTAAACCACTGTCTATAGCAATCGCTGCTGCGATGGGAGTCATGTTTTTAGGTGAAACTCTTTATATGGGAAGGTATGTATGTATCTTTTTTTTTTTTTTTTTTTTCCGTGTTCCATTTTCTCTTAATGTTATAGTTCTTGCATATTGATCGTGGGCTTTGATTCGAGCACTTGCAGTATAATTGGAGCAGCAGTGATAACGCTTGGGTTTTATTCTCTGATGTGGGGTAAAACGAAAGAGAATGCATACGAAGAGCTAAGCTTTACTGATCCTGAATCATCTTCTTGCAAGACACCCTTGCTGCAGAGCTTGAAATCTGAAAATAGTTAGAGATTCCGTACTACACATTTACAAAGTCTCATATCACTTGAAAGTTGCTGTTAATATGGTCACTTGTAATCTTGTAGATATTTTGTGAATTTGTTTTTAAACTTGAGCTCTTCAAGAGTATGAAGAGCGCTGTAAGCATTTCATGTCGTATAATCTTATGTACAAAACAGTAAACACTAATTATATGAAGACAAGAAAAAAATGAAATTGTCTACTAATGCACTTCTGTTTAAACATGTTCAGTTTTAGTTTACTCCTATTGCAGCATGTATCAACTTGGCAGATTATGCCCTCTATCTGCTATTATTAATTATCGCGTATTCCTCAGAGACCCTTTGGGAGCCTATCTTTTCAATTGCATTGCTTGGTGTTCAGTCACACAAGATTCTGAAGGGATTGAAGGCTTTAATAAGCGAAGTTTTATTTTGACTGTATGAGGATCTACATTTGGATTAAGTGCTAACTAATTTTTTGATTTGTGTAATAGCTAAATGCTCTTTAATAAGCGAAGTTTTATTTTGGTTTGAATCAATAAAGTTTAACAAAATAACACGTCTATGTATGCATCTTTGGTAGATGTTACCTTATTCAATTTCAGTTTCCCTGTTGGTCTATTCTTACTCCCCATCTTTATTGTAACCTTTCTAACGAATGGGAAAATGCCTAATTTCCCATCAAAAATGCACTCTTTTGTAGAATTGAATCCAACAGAAGCTATAATTATTTTTTAGCTTTCAACAGAAATAAGTATTATCTTTTGGCTCTTTTTTGTCATGTAAACCACTTTTCATCAGCGCTAAAAGTGTTGTACATGTCCTGAAATTGGGAATTTTTATCAAAAGAGAATGTCTTGATTCTTGAAGTGAATACAAGCACAATTACAGTCTTTGTTTCTTGTCATGGCGTATTAAACACTTAAATCTGGTTTAATGAGTTAGAAGGCGATTGCTGTAGTAGTGAAATCTACTGTTGTAGCAAGCCCTTATGATATTCTGTTTGTAGTGTGAATGTCCCTGATCTTACTTAGATAAATTGCCATCATTTTCCTCCCATATTTGGATTGCACATTCACGCGCTTACCTAGCATTCATTGCTCGATCTTTTGCCAATGACCATATTCTGTAAAGAGAAGGTATTGGCCAAATTTGGTGCGGGAGGCTTGGCTAATATAACTTTGGCTGATATGTTTCATGTATTGGCTGATATGTTTCATTTGTTGGCTGATATGGTTTTTGTGTTGGCTAATATATTCTTTTTGTTGGCTAATTGTTTTTTTTCCCCTTTTGTTGGCTGATATCAGACATCATTTGGCTTATATGTTTTTTTAGTTGGTTGATATATTTATTTTGTTGGCTGATATATTTATTTTGTTGGCTGATATGTAGATTTTAATTGTTGGCTTATATGTTTCATTTTGTTGGCTTACCTGTTGTGTTTGTTTGCTGATTCCATCCTTTTGTTGGCTAATATGCTTAATTTGTTGAATTGGCTGATATGTTCATTCTGTTGACTTATTTGTACCTTTTGTTGGCTGATATGTATCTTTTGTTGGCTGATAGGTTTCTTTTATTAGATGATACGTTTTTATTAATGTCTGATATGTCCATAATATTGACTTATATCAACATCAATTGGCTAATATGTATTATTTGTTAGCTAATATAATTAACAACATAACATATGCGTGGCTCTCACTTCCTCCCTCTTTTTCATTTCTTCTCTTTCCTCTTTCCCCCTGTTCCCCTCTTTTTCATTTCCTTGTTTTCTCTCTTTTCATTTCACTGAAACAACACCACCGTCCACCAAACCCACAAATACATTCAACCACAAATCCTCACGCCACCCCACCCCATCGTCCACCTCACCCACCAACCACCGCACCACCAACCACCACATCACCAGCCAAACCCACCAACCACCGACACCGACACCGACGCCGACGCCACGCCATTAGGACCTTGAATTGTAAGGTATTTTGTTTTCTTTCGATTTAGGGTTATTTATTTGTTTTAATTTGTGAGTTGTTTTGATTTTTGGGATTTCGTTTTTTCGTTGTATTATTTGGGGGTTTCACAAATCACAAATCGCTTCCAAGTAAATCGCAAATTGGTGGAAGAAAGTAGAGAGAGAAAGGTTCAGTTTTCTGATTTTTAGAGAGAAGAAAAGTAAAAAGGCGGAAAATGGAGAATGGTCGCACCAAACATTGGGTGCGAACGTTTGCACCCAATAGTTTGTGTTCTTTAAATGGTTGATCAGATGCAATTGAACTTAATCATGCTTCTCTTATCTCTTGTAAAAAAAATGATAAATATTTTACTAATAATGTAATACTAATATTTTATCAATTGAATTATCTCCATTTTTTTTTCTGTCTCACTTAATATAGATAATATGTACTTCATTTTTTTTTCTGACTCACTTACTATATCAATTAAATTATCTCCATTTTAATAATACTTTTAGGGAAAATTTGTCAGTTACTACCTCAAAAAGACTGGCTTTGTGAATTACTACCTGTTTCGGGGTCTTTTGATGTGTCTTGCAGGAGAGTTACAGCACCAGAACTGGGATCGACCGCCTGTAATTGCAAAAGCACGGAAGCTCCGGTTGGTAGGAGTTCCGCCTCCGACGATCAAGTTATAATACGTCTGGGTGACGAAGGATGCGGAAAGTAAATTGGTCTCTCGGATTCCGGGAGATTCTGCAATTAATATTGCTCGATAAATGTGTTTGTATTTTAGACTGAGTCAATTGTGTAATAAATGGGGATTTTCCCCTATTTATAGTAGAAGAAAGAATGTTCCCCTATTAGGGTCACCTTGCCACGTGTCAGCCTCTGATTGGATCCCATTAGGCCTCTACGAGGCTGACACGTGTCAGCCCCCCCATTGGGCCACGTGGCAGGGGTAATTTTTACCCCAAACATTTGCCCCTCACAGGTGTGACGTGGCTTGCCATGTGGCACCTGTGACACTTGTCACGTTCTGGGAAGGTGACGGTTCGTCTCCTTCCCTCTATTTTTTGAATTCAAAATTTTGAGAGGAGGAGGCGACGGTTTGCCTTCTGGGTTTCCCTATAAATAGGAACCTCCCTCCTCTCATTCCACACTTTTGCAAATCTTTGAAAGAATTTCCTTGAGAGAAAAAGAGAGAACTCTGATCCCGACTGCTCTTTCTTTTGAACGGCTTTTTAAGTTCCAATACGTCCGGCTACCTCATGGATTGCATTCAATAGACCCTCAGCCGTTTACACTGTCACCGTCTAGGGCATCTTTAAGCAATTTCTTTTTTGAATTGCTTCTCTAGACCCTCAGTCGGTTTACACCATCTGGGGCATCGTTAAGAAATTTCTTTCATGACTTGCGTTCAATATACCCATAGTCGGTTTCATATCGCCTGGGGTATCTTTGAGCAGTCTTCAAAGTCAGCATCCATCAGACCCTTAGCCGGTCTTATGCCGTTTGAGGGACTCTTGGGTGGCTTTCTTAATAATTGCTTTTAATACACCTGCAGCCGGTTCTATACCATCTGAGGTATCTCTGAGCAATTTTCTTCGTAAGCTGCTTGTAGTAACCCTCAGTCGGTATTACACCGGCTGGGGTATCTTAGGGCAGTTTTCTTTGAAAACGCCAGCCCATTTGCTTTCTTTACAACTTTCAATACAACCACAGTCGGTTTCTTCCGCATGTGGTATATTTGAGTCACTTGTAAAATAACGATTGCTTTCTTTGCCAAATTTTAGTTGCTCTTCAAAGGGATACCGTCTGGGGTATCTTCAAGCAACAACTCCAAGCTTCTTTCGCTAGCCAGTTTTTTCTACTACAAGGTACCGTCTCTGTTCCTTGTTCCTTGCAACTTTTTGAGTTTTTCTGGCTGCATAGGTTGTTAGAGTAATGATAGGCCGTCGTCGAGCCTACCAAAATATATAATTCCTATCTTGGTCTCACTAACTAATAGCAAGGGTAAGAAAGGGTCGAACCCAAGAGAGGTGTTGAATCAACCACCGAGTACTACCGTTTAAAAAAGCTAAATGAAGTCGAAATTGGGTTGGTTTTGAGTAACTTCTACTAATTCAATTCAACTAAAACTAAGAGGAGATTAACAATATTTAGAGGAATCTAGGGCTCGGGTTATACCACTCAACTTCATCACAAATCACAATTAGCATGCAACAATCAAGGCAAATTAAAGAGATAAATTAGGGGAAGTCATCTAAGGCACCCAACTACTCTCTCAAGCTAGAGGGATTACTTGAATCATGAATACAACCTACTCTCGTGGTTACAAAGCATAAAACAAGTGTTAAAGCATAATCACGATGACATAAACATTCCCTTGACCGGAAATTCCTATTCCCATGGCATTTCAAGTCAATTAAGCATAAGGGAGCTAACTCAAGTTCATCTCTCGATCCTTCGTTGAGAAAGCTTGGATAAATAGTTCTAGCAATGGCCATATACAAGAACTAAGCAATTAAACCACTTAAGCTCAACTAATTAACACCCAATAATTACCCAATTATTACTTGCAACAAGTAATTAGTGACTACATTGAGGGTTTTACCCAACCCTTAGAAAATAGACTACTCACAATCCATGGTGAAGAACAACCTAACAACAAAATCTAAGTTCAACATAAATTTAACAAGTTGAGAAAAGTAGTAAGAACAAAATAGATTGAACATGCAACAACAATTAAGCAAGATTAAGAAGGAAATTAACAATTCAAAGCAATTAAAAACTGAAAATAAGGAGCAAGAGATAGAGGAAGAAATTTACTAATGAAACTTCAAGGTTGAGAAAGTGTTGAAATTGAGAGTACAAACTTCAATTAACTACTTCAATGATTGAAATTGAAATAAACTAAGCTAATTAATGAGAGTTATTTTTTTTTAAAACTAACTAAGTTCCTAAGAAGTCTAAAAGGATGAAGAAGATCTCCCAAAATAAAAACCAAGGGTCGCTTTTATACTCCCCAAAGTCACATAGAAAAATCCGTAAAGAAAACCGGGTTTGCATGCAGGAGCGCCCGCTCCTAGCTGCAGCAAGAAGGCATATTGTTGGAACTCAAGGAGGAGCGCCCGCTCCTTCTTAGGTGCGCGCCAGCTCCTCACTGCATCAGAGAAGGCAGAATGTTGGAGCTCGATTAGGAGCGCCCGCTCCTTGACTGGTGCACGCCCGCTCCTGGCTGGGAAAGAGGGAGGCAGATTGTGGCGCTTT